TTTAGCGGAAAATTGATTTACGATTGAATTTCGACGTTAAGAACCTGCTGTCTCATATTAAAATCCTATCTCGTAATAGAGGACTTTCCGCCGTACATCTATGTATCCTCTATAAAATTGAGAACTTTCGACCAGCCGCTATCACACTACCGATATAGATTAGGAACAAAGTTTGAGGTCTCCGCAATAAATAACATGTCGTAATCAATTAATGGCTAATCGGCGATAACCCGCGGAGTGTCGCGACCCGAATACCCGCCTCATCGGTCGCTCCGGGAATCTGTAAGCCGGGCAATCCCTTCGCACAATTAATTATACCGCAATTACGCCCCCTTTCCCCCGCGTGTTTTGGGGCAAAAGAAAAGAGAAAGACGCGCGGAATCACGGTGACATTTCGTCGAACCGGTCCCTAATTGGATTTCGATTAGATGCAGTCGCGCGGATCCGTCATGATCCTCCTCGGCAGGTAGAGACAAACGGCGGGCCACCGGCTGCTCTCGCGGGCGAAACTCGTTCCGGTCGCTCGTCCGGCGATTTCGCAATTTCGGATTCCACGGGCGCGCGTCCGCGCGCGCGGACGAGCGTGTTCGGCCTGACCTGGAGAACACGATCGATCGGCGCGGGGAGGGGGATTACGGCGAAGTACACGCGAGCCGATAACCGCCCGCGATCGTCGCCGTGGAGTAGCAGCCGATCGCACGCGTAATACATGTGATAATGTACGTACCTTCTCTCCTTGTGTGCGCGCGTGGCTGCTATCCGAAAACCGAAGCGACCCTCGTCCGTGTCGGGGAAGCACCGCGGGGCACCGTGAACACCAGAAAAATCCACCGGAATACAAACAATCAGACGCACTCCGAGATTCCTCTCTCGCCGTCGTGTGTACACTCGCGCACAAGTTCGCCGCCTCCCTCCCCCTTTTCGAAAATTCGAAATTGTAATCCGCAAGCAGGCGAGAGCGCACGTCGGCGACGCGTGCGTGCACGCCTCGCGCGTCTGCGTCCTCCGTTGGCGAGTTCGCGTTCCCTCGCCGCGTGAACCGGCGTGAACCGAGCCCGAGATCTGCGCCAATGCCTCAGCGGCCACGGACTTGCTCCTCGTTCTCGCTTCGGGCCTCTTCCATGCGCGCCGGCCCTTCCCTTTACCTCTACTCGCCCTCGACGTTCCTTCCCTCTACGCCGGCGCGCGGCAGCCAGACGCGTTTCCCCACCCCGCCGGCGAACGGGTTCCCCCACTCTCCGCCGCCCGGCGAACAAGTTTCCCACCTCCTCTCCGCGCGGCGAACGAGTTTCCCCACTCCGCGCGGCAAATACGTTTCATCGTGTATCTTGCTTCTGATACGCCGCAGGGTCCTTGGCTTTTTGTTTATCGCGCATTTTCGGCCGGTCCGCGTTTATGTTTCTTCTTATTCTTTATGTAAGATTTTTATTTGCCGGAAAGCGAGAGCGGCTGTAATTTAGCATTAAAACTCATTTCTGTCGTGATTATATTACGCTTGTATCGAGTACAATTTGTACCTCGGATAAGTGAAATTTACAATTAGGGCTACTTTAACCAAACCCGCGGTTAAGGCGCTCGATGATTCCCTCAATGTTACCAACGGCATTTCTGAACCTTCCGCGTTTGTCTTCTAATGTAAAATACACTTTCGGCGTTCGCGTTGGCAATTCTACCGGCTGAGTTAATTAACGATTATAATTTAACCGGAGTTTGTTTAAAATGGTCCTCAGGCATGTTTAAGTATAGTTTCAAAATTTTAACTATCTCACATACTAATATAGGCCTGCTAAAATCTTTACAGATTTATATTAAGTAATATTAAACTAATAAAATATAATTTAGATAAACATCTGGAAATATTATATACAGCAGTTACGATTAAAAAATTATAACATATGGTATTACTAGAGGAAAAAAAAATTTTCAATATAGAACGAAAGCTAAGGTAACAGAATTTATGAAAACGCTACTGAATCATAAAGTACGAAGAGTGAAGATGGAATCGGATTTTATCATGGACGTAAGAATATATGGACGGAGTGTAAGTTAGGCTGGGTCTACATTGGATGTCGTAAGTCGTGTCGGAAGAAATTGACCAATCACAGTCTATTATTCTCCTTACGATCGAAAAATAGTGAACTGTGATTGGTCAATTTCTTCCGACACGACTTACGACGTCCAATGTAGACCCAGCCTTAGGCTGAAATCACATGATGCGGAATAGGAGTACGGAATAGAGAGTGCGTTATGGAAACAGGCAATCAGAGCTTGACCATGGGAGCTTTCCAGCAAGCGACACAAGTCGACACAAGTGTCGTTCTGTCTTTATTATTCATTGAATGCGAAGAAAGACAGAACGACATTTGTGTCGACTTGTGTCGCTTGCTGGAAAGCTCCCCATATCAGCGAGTGACGGAAATGTCTGGCTCTGATTGGTTCCTTCTATGACGCACGTTCTATTCCGCAGTTCTATTCTGCACCATGTGATTTCAGCCTAATCACGTGACCCTTTTTGTCGCTGTAACGGCCGGTTCGAGCGACACGTGAAAATGCACCTTCAAGTGCATCTCTCTGATGCATTATTATTGCGCCATGTTGCATGTAAAATTAACGAGATATTGGAAGGTTAGGTAGGATCGTTGAACGCCGGCCCAGATTAGTGTACACTTGCGTGTGATTTTCCGTAGAAATAAAAGACCGTGTTTCTCAAATCCACATGACGTCCGCCACGATGATTGACCGTGTTAGTCGCTTCGTTCTCCAAATGCGCAAGCGAGGTAAAAGGATGATTGGGCACCAGCGGTGCATGGTCAGAGACAGTTGCAGCCAAGTCGATGGCAAGACTTAGAGCTCCTGAGCGGCAGGAGTGTGCTGCGCGTAGGTGGCAACGAGGCCTCCACCTTCCTCCAGGGATTGATGACGAACGACATGAAGCACCTCGACGAAGGGACGCCCAGCATATACACACTGGGGCCCGATTCTTGAATTCATTCGAAGAAGAAACGTATACGAAAACTCTGCTCTGACAGAAAAGTTAAAAGTCTATTGGTTAAAACCATGCGAGTAGCCAATCAACTTGCAACTTTTCTGTAAGAGCAGAATTTTCGCATACGTTTCTCCTTCGAATAAATTCAAGAATCGAGCCCCTGTTCCTCAACACCCGAGGCAGAGTGATGTGCGATGCTATAGTGTACAAGAGCGAGGAGAGCAACTTGTACTATGTGGAATGCGACTCGCAGATTATCGATTCCTTGCAGAGACACTTGAAGATGTATCGCGTGAGACGAAAGATAGATGTAGAACATGTAGGGGACAAAATCCATGTCTGGTCGATGTTTGGCTCCACGAAACGTTTGGATAATGGAGTAGCAGCGGACGAGACGGGAAAGCAAAAGCTGGAAGGAATGATATTTCCATGTGGCACTCTAGACAGCAAAGCGAGCAAGTTTATCGATAATGTTATGATATCCCGAAGATCCCAGGTTACCTGATTTAGGCCTGAGAATTCTCGCCGAGTCGCAGATTGGCAGACACGAGATAATGAAACACCTAGACGCCGACACACCTCCGGAGGGCCTTGGAGATTACAAGGCGTTTCGATACAAACTAGGAGTAGGGGAGGGCACGCACGATCTACCACCTGGGAAAGCTTTGCCCTTGGAGATGAATTGCGATTACCTGCACGGCGTTAGTTTTCACAAGGGCTGCTACATCGGTCAGGAGTTAACCGCGCGCACATATCACACGGGTGTGGTCAGGAAGCGCCTGATGCCTTTGTTGTTTGATAATATTGTAGATAAGCCGCTCGCGTACGATGAGAAAATTCTCAACGAATCTGGCAACGCTGTAGGAAAGTTCCGAGGATGCGTCGCAAAGTACGGATTAGGTCTGATGCGTATCAATGAGTCTCTTAGTGCCAGACAGCTTAATGTATCCGGTATAAATGTGAGGGTGGTCAAACCTGCATGGTGGCCGCAAGAATCGCAGAAAGAAATGGTTTCTGTCAAAGATACAAAATAACGTCGTGACGTTTCCGAGCAAATATAACAAATTATCATGTAGAGACTATACATACATGCATGATATTTAAAATTGTTACATATTTGAAAATATTAAGTAAATTCAAATAAATTAAAAAAAATCAACAATACATTCAATGGATTCTGCTCCTTGTTGCTTTGTAGAAGGATCTCGCTACCATGTCAACGGGCGAATCTAGTATCGGCGAGCAGGCGCAACGGGACATTTCAAAGAGTAAACAGACGGTGACGAACGTGAGTGGCACCTTTACATGTTCTTTTTGTCCTTTGAAAGAACGCTACGATTACAAAGGCACGAGACCGCCATTCGCCCGGCAGTTGGTTTATTCGGAAGAGTGTTACGTTATGAAGGATCCGTTCAGCTTGCCAAACAAGGGCGAAATCTTAGTTCTAGGTGCCGATTGCAGCGTGTGCGAACACGCTGTATGCCTAGGATGCAGCATATTTTACAAGAGACGCTTCTGTCCGAAGTGCGCGTCCAGTAATATACAATATTTACCTCTTCAGTTACATAATAAAATCAAGAATTTATCAAGGCAAACAGATTCGTAAAAAGAAATTTGCAGGCATTATTTATTAAAGAGCAATGACAATTACATAAAGCAAAATATACTTATACATAAATATAGGAGGTATTTCGTTTACATTCATGTCGTGATAACTACGACGTTCGTTATATCGGTTTTTAAATGAACATGCAAATGTCTTAGAAAATTAAAAAAAATCTTGCAGTTTGAGAATCTATATTATGTGACAATGTTAGCCTAAACGTTTACCCATAAGCTTTTCAGTCATTACCTTCTTCTTCTTGTCAAGTTCTTTCTTCTTTCCGTTTTTCAAAGTGGCTTTTTGGCCCTGAAACGCAGTAGACTTCTTTCCTTGGTTATCTCTCTGCAGCTTTTTTGTTTCTTAACATTTTCTTCACATTTAGACTGTAAAAAAGAAATACGAACATGTAACGTTAATTCCGTCTGTAAAAAAATAGGTTTACGAAGAGGCAAGATATACTTACAGATTCTCCCCAACTTGTCTGATAAAAACTGTACTCGTAGAAAATCTGATAGAGGGTATGTATACTAAACCGTTGTTAATCGACTATCGCAATAGTCTAGTATAAAAATTAATAATCGGTTGATGCTTTAAAACTTTCAGATGTACAATTTGATGAAGTTTGGGAGGCCTTCTCCAGCTTTGGAAAAATTGAATGTTTAAGATTTTGTCGCGATAAGAAAACGGAACTACATATGAAATGTAATATTCATTTTTTTTAAAAATGAACATTACATAAATGTAATGTTCATTTTTTAAAAAAAATGAACATACATTTCATATGTAGTTTCGTTTTATACATCTGAAAGTTTTAAAGCATCAACCGATTATTAATTTTTATACTAGACTATTGCGATAGTCGATTAACAACGGTTTAGTATACATACCCTCTATCAGATTTCCTAAGAGTATAGTTTTTTTTTGGGGTTATACGGTCCTTCATATCTAGTAGACATCTGTATACTCAAGAAGTTTCCATGGTATTTCATTCCATGCAGAGCTCTTACTGCATCCTCTGCAAATGCCTTTGTCGTATATATAATACTTAATGGGTGTGAAACCTTTCGTTTTGTATCATCTAAATTTATACCTATTTTAGTGGTGCCCGATGGGCGACCAAATGCTTCAACGTTGCCATACTGAGAAAACAGTTTTATTGAAGCTACCATATCTAGCCTTGGTGAAATATTTTCAACTACAATCCATCTTTCCATACATCGTTTTTCCTCTTCAGAGGACATGTGAAACCGTACACGACGAAAATTCTTATCGGTATCCTTATCTGCTTTTTCTTTTGTAATTTCTTTTGCTTGTGTTACCACATTATAATTATCTGCGTCATCATCCTCATCCTTTTCGTTAAAATCTTTATCATCATCGTGGTCTGCAATACTTTTTCCTAAGTGTTTGTAAACTAACGTCTTCTACCGTACTGTCATAGTCGTCGTCGTCGTCGTCGTCGTCTTCGGAATCATCCTCTTCATACTCACCTTCATCAGTTACCATTCCCGAAGAAGTATCTACTTGATCTTTAATATCCTTTGTTTGTTTTTCATTATCCTCTTTCTCCTTGTTTTCTTCACTCTTATCAGTAAGCATGCTCATCTCACAGTCGTAATCCTCACTACTCTGCTTTATCTTGCGCTTTCTCATCCATTATTTCCTGCAATCACGTAAGATAGAATTATATAGGTAAACTTGTACACGTGTCACAGTAGACAAAAGGTAAAGGCGGGAAGGACAAAACTTTAACTTACAATATTCCCGAAAAAAAGTAAACATGAATAGATATACATTCAAATATTAAATAGACCTAATATTGAAGATTCCTTGGCAATCAGTAACGTTTCGCCTCAATTATCAATTTTTTTTTTGGGTGTTCCCCTCTACGGGGGTATCAATGTAATGTCGAAATTTTCTAGGCGAAATATTTCAGAATGGTCGGTAAGGACCGCAAGCGCGATTGTATAAAAATATTGACTCGGCACGAAAGTTCAACGGTCACCTCCTGTGCACGTGTAACATAATCTACGTGCGAGATGACGAAACTAAGGTAGTCGAAAGCGAATATCTAATTGAAACGTATGAGAGATGACACCGTAGAATGTATTTGCCAGTCGTTATAGTTTGTCTTGAATTACCAGTGAAGAAAGTGAGATTTTCAAGCGTAGAAATGCCTTGCTCGACTCGAATCGCTGCTCTCCGGTACATACAACGGTCACCTCCTGTGCACGTGTAACATAATCTACGTGCGAGATGACGAAACTAAGGTAGTCGAAAGCGAATATCTAATTGAAACGTATGAGAGATGACACCGTAGAATGTATTTGCCAGTCGTTATAGTTGTCTTGAATTACCAGTGAAGAAAGTGAGATTTTCAAGCGTAGAAATGCCTTGCTCGACTCGAATCGCTGCTCTCCGGTACATACAACGGTAAACGTACCACTGATGCCGACACAATACCGTGAGAAACGAGGATGGAAAT